AGCAGAGGACGCACATCAAGACGGAGCAGCTCAGCCCCAGCCACTACAGCGAGCAGCAGCAGCACTCCCCGCAGCAGATCAACTACAGCTCCTTCAACCTCCAGCATTTCAGCTCCTCCTACCCCACCATCACCCGCTCCCAGTACGACTACACCGACCACCAGAACTCCAGCTCCTACTACAGCCACGCCGCCGGGCAGAGCAGCAGCCTCTACTCCACCTTCACCTACATGAACCCCACGCAGCGGCCCATGTACACCCCCATCGCAGACACTTCTGGGGTCCCCTCCATCCCTCAGACCCACAGCCCGCAGCACTGGGAACAGCCCGTCTACACGCAGCTCACCAGACCCTAAAGCCATTTAAAAACAACAAAAAAAGAAAAAGAAAAAATAGTTTAAAAAAAATAAAAAAAAAGCATGGAAGAAGCAACAAGAAGATCGGCGAGCTTCCTCAGACTTTCTCCTTCTTTGAGTTTAAAATAATAATTAAAAAAAGACGCTAAATTTAAAGCTGGCGGGGAGGAGGGAGAGCCTGGAGCCTTCTGCACTACAGCATCCTCCAGGAAGGGGCCAGACCGCTCCGAGAACCGGCAAAACTCGGTACAGACTTTCCAAGGACTGGACTTTTAACTCTGCTTCCAGGGCGCGGCGTGGAGACGAGATTTCGAACCAACCAGCTCAGCTGTCTTGTTCTCTGGACTTTTGTAATGATCTTTTTTTTTTTTTTTTAGCAGTAATTAAAAAGAAAAAAAAGGGGGGGGCGGGAAAGAGAAAACTCAGTCCTCTGTGAGGATTATTCTCTATTTTAAATATTTTTTTAGTATGTACTGTGTATGAATCGTTACCAATTTGAGGGGATTTATACATATTTTTTAGAGATTTTTAAAAATGCTCTTATTTTTCCAACAGCTAAAAAAATGACACTTAGTGGAGCAGTCCTAGGTTCTCCTGCAGTCAGAGGTATTTTTGTATAGATAAGTGTCTTTTTCTGTAAAAATAAAAATAAAAAAGCAAAACGGCGTGCTTTTAACTTGGAACAAGGCTCCGTGAAGCGGCGAGCGTCGGGCTGAGCGATGGCCCGCTCTGCAGCGCGGGAGACGCCAGCTGAGGTTGAGCGGGGATGAGCGTGGGAGAGGCTTTATTTTTCTAACTAATAGCAAAACCAGCCAGGAGGAGATTTTTTTAACTTTATTTTTTAATAACCTTGAGCCTTAAGAAAGAAAAACAAAAAGTTTTTTTAAAAAAATTTTAAAAAGCAGCAAGGAGTGCTGTTGAGAAGCCTTAGAGCAGCCCTGTGATAATCACTTGTCCCCAGCTCTGCCATCCCTGGGGCTGGGGGGGCTGAGCTCGACCCCCTCCGGCCACCCCAGCCCTGATGCAAAACCCGTCCAGGGGCTCGTCTCTGCTTGCGGGACATCACAGATACTTTAAATTATTTATTTTGTGAGAAGAGCAGTTTATAATCACAATTTTCTTTTTTTTTTTTCCCCTCTATTTTAAGTCCTTTCAAAAGCGATTGCATTTGTCGGAGCATTATTTGGAAGGTAACCGTGCCTGTTAAATTATGGTCTAAACTGTAACCAGTCCTTTATTTATCTCTTTAATTCTTTTTTATTATTATTATTATTATTCTTTTTGGAATCTGTGTCCTGGGTTTGTACAAACTTGTGCTCTTCCTTTTATTTTTTTTTTCTTTTGTCTTAAGGATAAACTGGAAAAAAAAAAAAAACTTTGTACAAACTGAAGATTGCAAATGTAGCGTATCACTGAATCATTTGCCTTGTTTCCTGCCTCAGCTCTCTGGGACACACGAGCTCGTGTGAGGACAGGACCCAACGCCCTGCGGGGCGGCACCGTTTGAGCCTTCCACCCCCGAAACTGGCTTGAGGTGGGGGACACTGACGTTGGTGAAGCTGTGGCTGAACAGTTAAGGATTGCTTTTTAAAAAAGACAGCAGACTTTTTTTTTATTTAAAAAAATGATATATTTGTTAACTTTTTTTAGGGATTCAGTAGAAGAAAAAATCTTAAAGCACTCTTATAATATGGCATCTTTCTATTTCTGTATAAAAGCAGATCTTTTTAAAGTATTTCTGTAACTTAAGACCTGTCATTTAAATCATATTTTGTCTTTAGGTAAGTTTGGTTTGGTTTGTTTGCAAGATCCTTCTCTTTGTGAAACTTACCTTTTTTTTTGTATATTATTGTTTGCAATAAATATACGTTGTATTAAAAGTTAAACACCCTGTGGGTGTCTGATTTATTAAGCAAAGCCAGGGCTATGCTGAAGCCCCAGGATGGCTTTGGCTTCACTGGTGGGGGGGGATGGGGCATCCCCCCAGTTTTATCAGCTCAGCCTTCCCAGAGCCCCCGGAGCGTGGGAAGCCTCGGCAGGATGCTTGGGAAGCAGTGGGATTCTGAGATGGATGAAACCAGACTCATTCAGGGCTCGAGCTTCAAAGACGACATGTGAGCTCCAGCCGTCCCCAAGCCACGCTCCTGTCCACTGTCACCAGTGGGCTCTGCTCTGAGCTGCTTCTGGGGGCAGCAGAGCTGCCGAAGGGGTTTGGGCTTTCAGGTTGGTCTTAGAAAATTGCAGATATCTTCCCAAAAGAGCTGAAATCCCCTGAAGAGCCAAGTGGGACATGTATCATCCTCAAAGGTCAAAGTCACCACTCATCCCTGAGCCCTGCTCTCCCACAGCCCCAGAGACACCCCAGGGAGGAAAGACCCCCCCCATCCCCCCAGCTCAGCCAGGCGTTGTTCTTCCTATCAAACCCCCCCCAGATAAATCACTGCTCCGGTCTCTAACCCCGCTGCTCCTCAGGAGCGTCTCACGGTGCTGCGGGGAATCCAGCCGGCAGCTTTGCCACCTCGTCCCACCTGCAGCATCGCTCGCCATAGCTGCGCTGAGCTGCGCCAGTCCTCTGCCCCGCTGACTACTGGCACCGGAGAGCACGCACCCGCTCCCGGGACTGTCGCAGAGGTCGCTGGTGATGGTGCGAATCTGTGTGGGTCCCCTCCCAGGGCACAGCTGCTCACATATGAAAACTTCTGCAAAAATGTCGTAACCAGACCCCAATTCTGCATGGAAGATGCTGTTAGAACAAGGCAGCCGCACGCTGCAAGATCCTGGGACAGCTCAGGGTGCCGCCCGGCGCAGAGACCAATCTGATCAAGCCTTGCTTTGCCAATGGTTTACTCTCACCAGACTCTTCTCCTTTGCCGAAACGGCCACCGGTGACCCCAGCAGCGAGACCCCCTCCCCGGAGCTCACGGCAGGCACCTCAGGGCAGGGACCACAGCTCGCCGCAGCCCCCATGCTCATGAGCAATGCAAAGCCTCCACGCCACTGTAAAATATTTACTCTCACTACAAGTAACACTTAAGCCAATTAACTGAAAGGGATTCATTTACTTTGTGCATTAGTTGGGGTCAGTGTCACTATTTACCTGTGCCGTCGGCCACCGCGGCTGGTGGGAACGCTTTGGTCCCAGCCATTTTTCTGCAGCACGTGGCGGGTTTCCCCTGCCCCGATCGGACTTTGCCCGCTGCAAGCTTTGCCTTTGCTGCTGCTTTGGAAAGAAGGACAAACGCAGCTCCCAGCATCACGGCTGGGAAGCGCCCGGGAGCTCCGGCGGGAGCTCGGCTGGCCCCTTGCTGGCACGGCACTGCCGAGAGC